TTGACGAGCGCAAATCTTAGTAAATCGTGTTGCGTGATTCATTTCAATACTCTCATCCCATAAATTTACCGATCAAAAGGGAAACTCCTACAAATGCATATTCAGTAACGTGACTCGCAAAAATAACCGTGTCCACGCCTTTTCAGTGCTAATTTCCCATTGCGTGTCTTTAGTAAATCCTGACAGTAGTTTTTAACGCCAAATGAGGGTTTGCGCTGGCGAAAGCCCTATGAATGCCAAACATTCCGTAAAGCTAATGGAAGATTAGAATTGTTAAATGTCTTCAAAAGTTTTTAAAGAGCGCAGCCCACTTTAGGCCGAAATGATCTGTATGTTTAGCGCTGAATTAATTTCAGAAGTTTAATACTGAGGAATGGGAAATATCTACGCAGTGCAGCCTTGCAACCACCGTAATAAAAAGAAACACCTCTTCAAGACTAATTGCCATCTTTGAGAGTTGTCCTGCTGCCCGTGAGTCATGCTGAAGAGTGACAGGAGGAGAGCTTTATTGAGTCTCCTGACGGGCCGAGTAGATGTGCGCGGGACTCTCTGGGCTCTCAAGTCCCCGGTCAGTGCCTCATCTCTGGCCCGGCCCCAGCAGGCCTGTCTCACGGAGCACTAGGTCATTCACATGCATCATCTGTTCTCCTCTGCCAGGCCGCTTGTTTGTTTTTGTCTTTGCCTTGGGAAATTTGCAGTGTCGGAGAGCGGTTCAGCTCGAAGCATCTGTTGTAGGCAGCCTGGGTTTTGTTTTCTTTTCTTTTTTTAATCAATCGACCTGAAACAGGAGGATACTGCTGCTCAAAAACAGGAGAGGGAGAATTTCATAACACTGATTTTGTTGTAGAGTCTGTGCATTACAGTCATTTTATGGCAACAAAAACACTGCTGTTTAATAAATAGTGAAATGTGAGAGATTTAATAAGTGAATTAACTGTAGGCTGTGTATGATTGGCATGCGGTGTAGCATCTTGTTTTATTAATGTAGTATGTCTGCTCACATATTGGCTAGTTTAAATGGCTAATCACAATAGAGTCGGAACTGTACATTATATATTTATTATTTTTCTTGCACGGACTTGGTTACGTCAGTAGAAGAAACATAGACATTGCAGAGACTTTAAATGAAAGATTATGAAATCAAACACTTTTTTCGCTATATAATAATGTTTACCGATGAGTCATACACAATAAGACTAGGGACATTTCTATGGCAAGTCAGTAGGGTCTGTTTCATGTTGTCTTCAATGTGAACAAACAGACTGAGTGATGAGTCACCAACAGAAGGAAAACCAGCATACTGATTTTAGTAAGGGCAAAGATGAAATCGAAAACTGTTGTTTGGATGATAGTCTTTTAATTATTAATTGCTGATAAAATGTGCAAAATGGGAGTGAAGGGAATATTTCAAGGCTTTAGACTTTCAAAAGTCACGCATGACCTTTTTTAACCTTCAGAGACCCCATGCAGTGAAGCTGAATGAAAAAGAAAGAAATATTCTAAATATGGCTTAAACCTAAAACAGTTTATCTGTTTAATTAATAAAAATATAATTTAGTTAAAGGGATACTCCACCCCAAAATTAAAATTTTGTCATTAATCAATTACCCCCATGTCGTTCCAAACCCGTAAAAGCTTTGTTTTTAACAAAGAATAGCGTACGCTGCTTGCGTTCAGCGGATATTCTCCAAAATGGCGCTACAGTGATGCGGAGAGACATAGAGGAGACGAATTGTTGAATAAAGTCGTTATTTTTTGTTTTCTTCGCGTACAAAAAGTATTCTCGTCGCTTCATAACGTTACGGTTGAACCACTGATGTCAGATGGACTGTTCTGACGATGTCTTTCATACTTTTCTGGACCTTGACAGTGTAATGTACTTGGCAGTCAATGGGACAGTCACAAGCCTCCCGGTTTTCATCCAAAATATCTTAAATTGTGTTCTGAAGACGAACAAAGCTTTTACGGGTTTGGAACAACATGGGGGTAATTGATTAATGACAAAATTTTCATTTTGGGGTGGAGTATCCCTTTAAATATTAAATACATGTTATATTAAATATGAAATAATTATAAATAAATATCTAATTTAAAATGTTGATTTAACTAATTTTGGATCAAATTTAGCGGTCTTCCAAATAAATATTTGATGAATGGCCAAACAATATGAACTTCTGTAAATATGATTTTTCTCACTGTTGCAGAAATGCAAGATTATGTTGCAGGTCAGTTTGACACATTTTGGTTTTTGTGTTTTTGGAAATACTGGTTAACCTATGATGCTTTTCTTGAAATTTTGTGACTTTTTCTTGTTTAGGGTCATGAAAATGCCTGCAAAAGTGTTGTCTCGGATGTGTTGTGTACTGTGCGTACACAATTTATATTATGATTATCATGTTTGTGGGTCAATATGCCCACATATTTCATCATTAAAGATAACGGCACAGACATTTTTTTGAGGTATTTTATGTCAGATTTACATTTAAGCATTTAACAGATGCCTTAATCTTCAAAAATATACACTGCATTAAAGGCGTACATTTTTATCAGTTATGCAAACTGAAGTGCTTTTCCACACCTTTTCTATTTAAAATGTTAAAATGTTTTTAAAATGTTAAGAAATAATTACAATATTGTTTTTTTAATATTCACAGCATAATATTATAACATTCATTATAGTTTTTTTGTACTTTGAATTAGGTTATTTTTATATTTTCATTTTCATTTTAAAATTTTTTTAATTTTGTTGTGTGTTTTTGTTATTTCCATTAGTTTTTTTTGTGTGTGTTTATATAGTTTTTATTATTTTTATTTAACTAAAAGAAAATTTAAAAAGTTTTTTATATATTTTATTTTATTTCAAGTAACAAAATGGTTTTACTTAATGAGATATTATAGTGTAATTTAGTATTTATTTATAGTACTTGTATACGTAATTATAGCATAGCAGAGATTCAGTTTTCCAACCTTGTAAATTCTTGCAAATTACATCATTGTTCTAAAATTGTCTCTTTTTTAAAAAAAAACATGCACGCTGCTGTCTCTGTCTTAGATATAAAATGCACCTCTTTCTACATCAAGACCCTCTTTTACACTTTAACAAGTCACAGTCATCGTGGATGGGAAGGAGATGTGCTGGTGTCTATTTTCATTCGCATTTGGCATTTGCTTCCATGGCAACCTGCTCTTCTGTATGTATGTGAGCGCCATATGGGTCATGCTGCTTATCTGAGGATCAGCAGAAACAGAACCTGCTCTGCATCCTCGCTGTGATTCATTATGAACATGTAATGGCCAGAGTTCAATATGGCGCATTCATAGGGGATTGTGAAAGTTGTTTTTATTGATTTTCATAGCTCATGAAAGTATGTGAGCTGGAGGAGGCGGAGTCGACTCCACTCATTTGTGAAAAGTTCCTCTCCCCAGTTTGAATTGCTCAAAGTAACTCTCAGTCAGCTCGTTCTATAGGAACTGTTGAGATGTTATTCTTATGCTATTCTCAGTATTCAGGCAAGATTAATTTAATGGTCTGGTATCAAATGATAGAATGTTAATGAGGGAAGAACCAGTTCAATCATGACAACTCTCTGAAGATTTTAGCATGGTGGTGTATATGACAACGTTAATGTATTTGGTCTTGGCGGAACAGATCTGCTACGCTGCTGCTGAATTGCTGCTGCTGTTGGTTATTGCGGTAGTTGTAGATTATTGCTGCTGCTGCAAGCAAGTACAGGAACTTGCTACTGCCAATGCATATGGCGATACGGTGCCATGAGTATTTAAGCCATACGGCTGCTGCACAAATAGCATATAAAATAACCCGTAGCAGATCTATACAGGTGGAGCTGGGGAAGGTGGAGGGTTTCAGAGAAACTCTGAAAGCGCGCTGCAGGAATCTCAAGTGAATGCTAGCCAGCCATATAAATGTAAGGCAGTAAGCTCATTGGCTGCATATGCAGCATGAACCAATCAGCTTGTCCCAAGTCGTTTAACTCTCTGAATATCATCAGTTACGTTAACACCCCGTCAGAATGCGCCATCTAGAGTTTCATGACTGAACTGTATATTTATAATTTTGTTTTAGTACCTGGTGCTTAGTAGTTTGTAGTTTCTTTTAGAAGTTAAAGATGTAGCCTATTAAGTTACTTAGTTACTTTTATGGAAAGTAATGTGTTGCGTTACGTTACTTTTGCGTTAGTATTTCTCTTCTGGCCTGGCTTGCTTGTTTATTTTTGATATAAATAAAGTTCTATTTTTTGGCAAATGTAAAAGCCCTTCTTTCTCGATCTTTGAAGGTCAACAGCAAAGACACTGTTGATATATCTATCTATCTAAATTGAAGTTTTGTTGACATTTGAGTCCAGTATGAGTCAATTGGACAAAGAAAATGTATACATACTCTACCGTTTATTGTTTTTGAGTCTTTTATGTTTACCAAGACTGCATTTATTTGATCAAAAATACAGTAAAACAGTAATATTGTGTAATATTATTGCATTTCAAAATAGCTGTTTTCTATTTGAATATGTTTTAAATTGTAACTTATTTCTGTTATTTCTTCAAAGCTGAATTTCCAGCATCATTACTACAGTCTTCAGTGTCGCATGATCCTTCAGAAATCATTCTAATATGATAATTTGATGGTCAAGAAACAATTATTATTATTATTAGTATCAGTGATGAAACAGTGATGCATTTTTCAGGATTCTTTGATAAATAGAAAGTTCAACAGAAGCATTTATTTGAAATAGTTGAAATAATTTCTTAGACAAAGACATACTGACCCTGGCCTGTAGTATAGGATAATGTCATTTAACTTACAATACAACTTTTTTATTTTATTTTTAACTGACTTTACAATCCAAATTATCACAATTTATGATGGATTTGGACAGGTTGCTGTCCAAATCCATTAAAAAATCTGCGGAGCATGCGTTTTTGCATATAAAGCAAAACTAGCTAGCGCAACACCTAAATGCCTCTTCTCTCTGATATTACAGGGCAGAAAAAACAGAGGTACTGAGTGAAGACCTGCTGCAGGTGAGATGAAATCAGATCAGTGTAAACACAAGCTGTATATATTTACCTACTGCTCTAATCTACTCTTATTTCTACTGCACTGCTCATATGCTTCACATGTGTTTATTTTGCATTCAGGTGGAGAAGCGTTTAGACCTGGTAAAGCAGGTCTCTCATAGTACACATAAGAAGCTGGCCGCCTGTCTGCAGGGACAACAAGGCACCGATTTAGAAAAGAGATCAGTCAAATCTCCCTCGGTACATCAGCTCTCACACCTCACACTCCTGTTTTCTGCACTGAAATTAATTACACTCATAACAGCTTGATTGTGGTTTTTCCTAAGCAGAAAAAGTTGCCCCTGACGATACTTGCTCAATGTATGGTGGAGGGAGCGGCTGTGTTAGGAGACGACTCTCTTCTTGGGTGAGTTTGTCTTTGTATTTTGATGTCTAAACAGATTTTTCAAACTGTTTACCTTGGGCTGCATCATAATTTACAATCGAATGGGCATCAATGGAGAATTATGCTTTTAAACCCACATTGCAAAAAGTATTTTTCTTAGTATTTTCTCAGTGTTTGCTTTTGTTTTCCAGTACAAATACCTAAACATTCTTAAATCAAGATACATTTCCTTGTAAGTTTTCACTTTGAATTAAGTTTATTTTCTTAGCCTACACCACAAATGCTTTTTCTTATTTTAAGCGTAAATTTAATTTTGACAAATTTTTCGGAAAACACAAGACTTGTGACTTACATAATTTTTCTAAAAACTTTACTTTTTTTCCCCCTTTGGCAGATATTTTTTCTTGTCTTCCAGAATGTGATTTTGCTTCCAAGTAAAAGTCTTAAAATTAAAAAAGGGAAGATGTGGGAAATTAACAGATGGGACGTCAGTGTACACTAAAAAATGGCAATACAAATGGCTCCAGGTTGAGCTGAGGAAGTGATGCCAAAAAGCTGTGATATGTTCAGATTCAGTGATATCACTTCACTCATTTCACACAAACTGATGTAATATTTTAGCAAAAATACTGAATTGTATTATAATACCGATTCAGACAGAAAAGGCAGACAAAAGGGTGAATCAATCACTTAGATTGGGCAAGACAAATTTAGCAATTGCACAAAGAAAAATCAGAACGGAAGCATGTAATTCGAGCTTGCAATATATGTATATATATATATTTTTGTGTGTGTGTGTGTGTGCATTTCTATTTAGCTTTATTTTTATTTAAAAAATAATTTTATTTGTGGTTGTTGCAACATTCATTTTTTTTATTTAATTATATAAATTTGTTCGTATAATGTTTATTAGATTTATATTATTCATTTTATTTCAGCTTTATTTAAAAAAAAATTTTGTTTTAGTTTTAATTTTAGTTAACAATAAGACCACTGTCAGACTGGACAATATCTACATAAAATACAAAATATTCCACAAAATCACCAGAAGCAGGTAAAATTATAATATGTTATTAAAGTTATTTGAAACAGTGAACTTATAGGATACAACAAATCATCCTTAAAGGGATAGTTCACCCCAAAAATGAAAATTCTGTCATTAATTTACTCACCCTCATGTCGTTCCAAACCTGTAAGATAGAGGTCTGCGCGGGACTGTTTTTTAGCCCTGCTCCCGCCCACTCCCGCAGGGTTCTATTCCGCACCCCACCCGCTCCCGCTATATATTCACTCTTTGTTCACCCGCTGTCCACTTAGAATAATTTTCAGTTATTATTTTATTATGGGTTCCCGCTAAATTTAGATCTCGTTTCCAGAATCTCACATTTAAATTTCCGCTACTGAAAGAAAGAGAGATAGGCTGACAAATAAAAGTGTAGTCTGCACAAAATTGTATGTTATTTTATTCGTCTTGTCAAGAGTCTTGAATTTATTGACTTTGACTTGAATTCATAGGAATTATCTTAAGACACAAAATTTGTTTAATATTTTATGCAACACAGTAGGAAAAACTGTTTCCATCCAGCACAATTCCATCCAGTTGTCATCCAGCACAATAGGTGGCGGTATGCATCTACTTAAGTTGGTTTGTAACCTGCCAGTAAACCCAGTGAAGAAAAAGAAAGATGTATTTTTTTTTTTTTTTGGTGATGGCTAGAAAGGGATAAAACTACGGGCAGAAGTGATGCAAGTCTTGCAAAATCTAGTTCACTAGTTGTCTTCTTCACTGTCCGTTTCATTTTTTCCAGTCCATCTGGTGAGATTTTGGTTAAAAAGACTTTGCCACAATGTAGGCTGATTAGTTCGTTAGTTGTCTTCTTTACTGTCAATTTAATAGTTTTCTTTCACTTTCTTCCTGTCCATCCAGCGAGATTATCCCTTCTAGTTTAACCGTTTCTTTTTTCAGCCAGGTGGTGTAATTACCACAACCTACCAGCAGGGGCTGTTGGGATCGTGTTAACCTGATAAACCCTATTCAAACTTCTTGTGGTCAGTGTTTGTTTTCTAAATGTCTCTTGCCATGCAACCTGCATTGGTTTGCACTAAATTAATTTGGATAGTTTCTACCAAGTGGCAGATGAAGTAGCACCAAATATACAGAGTTTGATTAGGTACACACCCTTTGACGTCAACATCAAAATATATGGGTAGTTATTGGTCACATTTAAGCTCTTAAGATCTTTCGTGACATTCACTGAGAAGTTTGTGATTAGGATGCAGCCCTGGTTTGGTTGACTGCATTGACAAACCTGTGGTCTCCATCTGCAGTAAGATGCTGAATCTCTGTGGTGAGTCAGAGGAGAAGTTGGCTCAAGAGCTGCTCGTCTTTGAGTTACAGATTGAAAGAGATGTTGTGGAGCCTCTGTATGTGCTGGCTGAGGTGAGCGTGTTTTTCCTGTCAAAGTTACACTGTAATACACATATTGCATCCTTTTTCATCTGCATCTAACCATTTAGTACCTGACATGTGAAATAATAGTGAGAATAAGCTATTTTTTTAAAAATTGAGTATCATATTTGATACATCAGGCTTCAATGGTGTAGTATGATACAGAAGAATATGGAGCTTTACATTGAGGAGGAAAAAACACCTGTTTTATTCAGAGGCCCAGGCTGAGCAAAAAACATAATTAATAAAATTTGGTGCAGCTGCTGATATTTATATGGCCAAAATGAAAGATGAAAGCAATATAAGTCAGTGAGCTCTTGGTAACAGTATAACAGACAGCGTTGTGAAGGTTACTTTGGAAATGTAATAGGTTACAGATTACAAGTTCCCCTATTTGAAATGTAATAAGTAGTGTAACTATTTCAATTACTTTATTAATGTAACTGATTATATTTGATTACTTTTTGATTACTTATAATGAACGTTTTCAATTGTAATTCATTTTCAAATCAAAGAAGCATGTGTCCTATGAAACATTGGTGTCTCATATTTTAGAGCAGTCAGTGCAATTTTGGAAAGATATTTGTATGTGTGTGAAAATATTCAGATGTAACCTCCCTTGTAATCATTAATAATTTCACAAGTAACTAACATTAATTTTGTAATTAAATTACATAACTCTGTTACATGTAACTAGTTACTCCCCAACACTGAAAACAGACTACTTACATAAAATGCATATAAACATAAATGTATAAACATGTATAAATGTATAAACATATAAACACTCTGTATCTCCCAATAATATAGTAATTTAAATGCTTATTTTTTTGATCAATGCTATGTAGTTTTTATTATGGGGGAAAACATAGGGCTATATGCAGCAGGTTTGAAGCAAAGTTTTGATATTTTATTTTGATAATTTAGAGGCCTTTGTGTATTAAATATGATACAGTGAACTTTACAAGGTTAGAAGCTAATCCCTAAATGCTTACAATTTTTGTGCATGAAAGTTGTATTGCTTAATTCTTCTCATGTGGACATGGTTTGCTGTTTAGGTGGAAATTCCGAACATTCAGAAACAGCGAAAACATTTAGCCAAACTCGTCCTGGACATGGATTCTGCAAGGACACGGTACGAACTATGAGCAAAATTGCTGTTGATGTCTGTCCTTGATTCTTCTGCATTGCCCACATTGTGCTCTGACAGCGTCATTGGTCCTCCTGACCTCTAGGTGGCAACAGTCGTCCAAATCTTCAAGTCACCCTAGTAATGTGCAGCAGGGCGGAGCTAAGGCTGATTCCTTTAGAGAGGAAATGGAGGAGACGGCCAATCGGATGGAGATCTGCAGGGTGACGACAACTCTTTCTTCCGCATTTCATTAAAAACTTAAACAAATGCGAGGCAAAATTAGCATGTTACTCTTACCTAATAATCTTCAACTTAAAATGTTCTTCCTTTTTTAATTAAAAAAATTGAAATATTTGTGATAATGTAGACCTACATGTCTTCCTCTCTGTAGGACCAGTTATCAGCGGACATGTACAACTTTGTGGCCAAAGAAATAGACTATGCAAACTACTTTCAAACGGCAAGTACCTCTGGGCACTAAAGGTGAAGTGTGTAATTTTAGTTGGATTGGCTTACAACATGTGTGTGTCCTCTTATTGTTCTTGCTGTAGCTCATAGAGGTTCAGGCGGAGTATCACAGGAAGTCTTTGGAGATTCTGCAGAGTGTGCTGCCACAGATCAAAGCTCACCAGGGTGAGACTCTCCACTTCCACTTTAATGTCTGAGCGTACAAGTTTGGTTAAGTGGTGGCTTTCAAGTGTGTGTGTGTGTGTGTGTGTGGGTCTGTAAGTAAACTTATTTCTGTTGCTTTTTGGAGACTGCATTTTAATGTCCATCATGGTGTGTTTCAGAGGCCTGGATAGAGAAGCCATCGTATGGAAAGGCCCTAGAGGAACATCTAGCCATCAGTGGCAGGGAGATTGCATTTCCTATCGAAGCGTGCGTCACCATGCTGCTCGAATGTGGCATGCAGGAAGAGGTGCGAGACTGCTGAGAAATAACACAGCATGGCTTATTTATACCTGGAAATGCTGTTTTTTTTCTACAAACTGAGGGATGAGTGGAAATTATTGTCTGTGGTAATCAACAGCATGTCACAGATGCCGTTCATAGACATTATGCTGTAGATAACCTGAAATGATCTGGAAAGATCCTTGTGTTGATCAAGTCCAATTATAGTAGCATTGACCAGGATTTTTATAGTCTCAGCATCATGTGGAACGTCCCACCTACAGTCCATTCACTGATCAAATAGTTGTATTAATATTTTAATATTGCTGAATACTTCCCTTTGTTGAATTATTTAAATTCCCATAAATGACACAAACTAATCAAGATTGGCTGCTTTGCATGTCATTCATGAAGTCTGTATTAACTATACAAAGTTATTAAATTACTCACAATTCGTTTTTTTTTTTTTTTTTTTCAGAAATTAAGAACTCTGTGTTCTTCGATTAAAACAGTTAATGAGGTGAAAAAAATTAATATTTTATTATTTTATGTTACAATATATTATTATAAAAAAAAATTAATATTTTATGTTACAATATATTATTATAATACATATTTTATAAGAAATACATTAAAATCTAATTCAGTTTATACTAATTTAGGTTACAGTTTGATTATTTTAATATACGAGTAATAATTTAGCTAATTAAGAGGGTGTATGTATCAGGTGCTCCTCGCTTGTTTCCAGGGCGACGCTGATGAAGCTTCGGGACGCTCGTCACATATATATATATATATATATACTATAAGTATAAGTATAGTGCATTGATATTAGTGTACTTATTACATAAAACACACTTGGAAAATATACTTTTATATAAAAATTAATTACAGAGTATTTATTATTTTAAATATTTTTTAGCTATCTTGAGACCCTATTGGAAATTTCCTGAGACCCCCTAGTGGGCCCCGGCCTCCAGGTTAAAAACCACAGGTCTATTGCAAAAAACTAAAAAGTAAACCACGAGGGCCAAGGTTGCCATTTGGAACAGGGCTTGGGATTTTATGGCCAATAAGGTCTAACTTTACTCTTCCTGTCATTTTAGGGTTTATTTCGGGTGGCCCCCTCGGCCTCCAAGCTGAAGAAACTGAAGGCATCACTGGACTGCGGGGTCATGGATGTGCAGGAGTACTCGGCCGACCCACATGCCATCGCAGGTGAGCATCTGCCTCTCTCTTAGCTTTTAAAATGTCCACTGATCTACCCGCAGTGTCCTTTTAGTGGATCGCAGCTACAAAATCTCAGACCCCACGGCAGTTGGCATTAAATTCTGTCCCAGGTTAATTTGATCTCATTACTCTGGGCCTGAAGCGTAACCTAGTAGCCGTCAGGTAGGGGGCCACAGCTGACAGGCGCTACACGCTGATTGTGGCTTTTGACAGCTCATTTGTCAGGCTTCCCTTTAGTATTTCAGGCAGAGAATATCACACCTCCAGTCACGTCCTATCACTCTTTCACCGTGCCCCTGCCTCTCTCCTTCCCTCTGACCTCTTTCCTTCATCATCTGCTTCCCTCAGGAGCCTTGAAGTCTTATCTTCGTGAACTTCCTGAACCTCTAATGACCTTTGAACTCTATGATGAATGGATTCAAGCTTCAAAGTAAGTATCGATAGTCTACCCCAACACACACTCCATTACCATTTGCCATTTTCAGATTTCACCTTTGCTCAATTCCAAAACACACCCTGTTAGTAAATGTACATCACAGTAACATCTATTTGATGTGCGTTTTCATCTGGAAGATGTATTTTTAAAGTGTTTGCTCATGTGCAGTATGTTTCTAAGACATTTCCTGTGCTAAAAAACAGCTAAAATACATCTCCCAGGATGGCCAAGCTTCGTGTTCAACTGGTTTTAGCTGGTTAGACCAGAAAGTGGTCAAAACCTTTCTAAAACTACACTGTAAAAAATGATTGTGATTTTAACAGTAAAAGACTGTAAAAATGCTACAGTAAAAACCTGTTAACTGGTTAACAGTAAGTTTCCATACTATATAAGGTGAATAAATGTAATTACATTTAATGTAATTTTACAGTAAAATACTGTTAAAAATACGGTTTTTGGAAGTGAAAAAGAAAAAGTAATTGTATAATTTACAGTGAAAA